ATGTAAAAGCTGTTTTAAACAAGCTGCCGCCATCTTGTTCCACTCTGGTGCTTCATCCCGCCCACCAGACAAATAGAGGGCCCTGATTGGCCCACCACTGTGGACCAATCACAGTGCTCTATAGGATTGAAACCCCTATAGAGCTGTGATTGGCCAGCCAGAATGCTGCTAGGGGCTGCGGAGGTTCCAATGGAGCGTTCCTAGAAAAAACTTTGCAAAGCAAGAATTTGGTCTAGTTCACTAGGCTACTGTTTACAGCGAATGCATAATGAATGTGGTCCAGTATCACACTGATCAAGAGTTTAATCAGAGCATTTACACTGACTGTGGTGCAGACTCCGAGCCCCAGAAAGTGCTGGATGTTGCATTAGGATTGCTATAAAGGTAAAGAATTCACCTGAACCAGACCGGAAGTGAGACATAGTTCTTCGTTGGGGAGTTTCGTGACACGATTTTCATTCAATAAATCAGTTGCACGTTTGCCTGAGGGGGTACTCAAGGTGAGAAAATGGCTCAGAAGAAAAAGTCTTACATCACAGACTTGCGTAACATCTGCCTGCCAGCACCAGGCTTTGTATCAGGGATGAAAGAAAATATTGATTTGGCAATATATCGTGATATACTATGTTATATTGATATTCAAAAGCAGTGTATCTAATTTTTGGAAGAATTTACATGCAAATATTAGTGTATTTTCTTTTTTCTTTTGGTGCAATTCAAACGCCGACCACTAATCGGCAGCAGTGTGCAGTGGGTTTTGTTTCCATCATTGAACTGTAAATCCCTCTGTTATGGTTCAGATACCTCATGTTAAACATGTTAAGTATCAGTTTGGACTGTTTATTGAATATTCCTACAATAAATTCAGTCTAAACACTTTCTAATAACGTCTGACTGAATGTATTGCAATATACCGTGATACGCTGTATCGTCTTCCCTGTATCGTGATACGTATCATATCGCCAAAATTTCACCAATACACATCCCTACTTTGTATACAAACATAAATGAGTGACTGTGAATCTTTTCAGTCATGGGACCATAAAATCTGACCTTTTCTAATGTTTTAATAATTAAAATATCTTCTGTGAGATGAAAACTGCTTTTAGCCTAATGCTACGTTAGCAATCGGCAATGACAGCAAATGGTCAAACAATCAGACACAATCCATACAACTTCATAAATAATTTACATTCTGCTTCCATCCTCTAGTCCTGATCAGGCTTCTTGTTTCTCATCCTTCCTCCTCGTATGTTCAGCCAAAGTTTCCTTGACTCTTTCTTTCTGCTTCTTGTTTTTCCTAGTCCAGCCTCAGCTCTCAGCCTCTCCATCTGTGTTTGTTCACAGGGAACTTTAAGAAATGGATTCAGAACGCTGTACCTTATAAAATGCTCTCTTCCTAGTAACAAATTAGTAGAAATCACACACCAACAGCTTTTTTTTCTAACAACAAGAACACTTAGGATCTTAAATTGGACTAACTGGCACAAATAAACCTCTCTGCCAAATACAACACAACAGCTTGCCGCCGCCACTGTGGGAATAAACTGTATATGGATACATTCTTGTCACAGATTTTTATCCTGAACCCAAACTCCATGAATACAGTTTGATTCTGACTTTTACACAGTAAAGCAGCCTGCTGACGGCGTCGGTCATCTCCTGTAGATTTATGATGAGTTAACAACACATCTACACCAGGGCTGCACGATATTAGGAAAACCTGCGATATTCGATAACAGTGCTTAATATTGTGATATCGATGTTACTTGCGATAAATGAACAAATACTAAAGTATGCAGTGTTGATGTCGTCTGGCGTGTGACGTCTGCTCTGGGTTCAAAGCAAACAAAAACTAATGCATGAATTCCATTACAACATAACATTTTATTGAAAAAAATATGCAGCTGCACCTGCTACTGTAAGTAGCAGGTGCTGTTTGTATGTTGCAAAACAACAAACTGCATGCATGCAGTTCCTCAGTGACTTTAAAACATCACCTCCACCATAAAAACTTTTTCTGATGCTCCAAATACAGAAAAACATCCCTTACCAGGGTTTTTTGAATAAATAAAAAAATCTGAAAATAAGTTTAAATGTTAAATAATAGTTAGCATCACTTAAATGCAACAGCAAATTCTCTCATTGCTACTGAACATTTTCTCCACTTATGTGGTTATGATATAAGGCTGTTGCTGTAATTGGGAAGTGAACTGTGCTGGGCCAAACTAGGAGAATATTAAGATTTTCTGAGGGAAAGAGAAAAACAATTGTCTACCTTTCAGAAGAGGAACTGGCAAAAAAATACTACATGGAAAATATGTGAAAACGTTTGTTTTTAACCCCAAATTGAACAAGTTTACCTAGATCTTAAAAAGCAGCTCAGATGATGAAACTGCAACTATGATTCTGATAACAAGCTAACAAATTGAACTAGCTTCTCTTAAGATAACCGGCTAGCAGAGCTTCTGACTGACAGTTTATGTGCAGCAGCAAATCAACTATCCTGATTAACAAGGTTATAAAAGCTCATAAAGGAAAAATCACTTTGATGAGTGGAGGAACTTTTTTAGGCCCAGCAGGGTGGGACTGGGAGGAGAGTGCTGTAGCCTTTTAGCTGCGAGCTAACCGGAGCCTGGGGCTAACGTAACCACCCGGTGGAACACTAGCGACATGAAGGTGGGTGGGTTGGTTCACCGGCACGTGTCGGAGTCAGCCCGGTTACTATCAGCTGCTTAACGACACCGAGCGGACTCACGTTCACGTTTGAAAGCAGTGCTGATTCCAGAAACCTCAGCACAAAGTGCGTTCGTTAATCTGAGCCAGCATGACAAACAAGGGAAGCGAGCGGCAGCGGAAAGCAGGGCTGGAGCAGAGATAGTGGAATTTTGGGGTAAGGGTCTATGTAGGGGGCGGGCGTATTACGTGAAAGGACCCATCTGATTGGCCGCATATCAGAAGGGCTGCATTTGATGGGTCAAATAATACTTCAGCGTAAAAAACAGAGCTGGTTTACAAAAAGCTGATGTACGACACGGATGGAAATGTTTGAACCAAACATTTATCGCCGTTTTTGACGTGCTTTGCGATGGGCCTATCGCATGTCCTGTTATCACGATGACGATAATTTTTCGATATATTGTGCAGCCCTAGTTGTCACTGTAAACGGTGTAGCGGTAAACCCCGGTAAAAAAGTTGACAATAAAATAACCGTCTTGTTTTTTTTAAAAACTATATTATTTCGGTGGATTACCGTGGCTGCGGTGTAGGCGCGGTGACCCTTACCAGCCACCGTATCATCTGCTGAAGTTGCCGGCGGTACATGCACACTTTGTTGTTTACGGCCAAAACTTTCTTGAAGCTAATGGCCAAAGGAGGAGACGGCAGCGCTCAGGACATTTATTATCCCTCAAAGAAGACAAAGTCGGAAGTACGGGCATTTTTTGGATATTTGAAGAATGCCGAGGGACAGTTGATAGAAGACGGCTATCCTGTTTGCAGCACGTGCAGGAAAGTGTCTGTGAAAGGCAGCAATGCTTCAAATCTCATGACACATCTGCGTGACCATCACCCACAACTCTACAGTCAACGCAAGGCAAGTTAACGTTAGTGTTTTAGCTAAAATGCCTGTTCCGAGGATTTGGGTTGAGGGAGAATGCAACAAGTCGCTACATAAAGCAGCCGCAGCGCCGCTACCTGCATGTAAACCGTGTCGCGGACACTCCAATATTGAAATGACGCTATGCATTACGGGGCTCCCAGGGGCAGATAAGAGTTGGTCTCTCTCCGAGAATAATTATGAATTTAACAATGATTACTGCCTGATGACATTTTCCCACATCTGCAAAGCTCACTGGAACACAAACCGAGGACAAAATTTTCCTGATAAAGGGTTTATTACTCAAGTAAGGGTAAAAAAGTATCTGATTAGAAGGCTACTTCAGTACTGAGTATCATCTGATCTAATATTTTTAAAATGATGTCATCAGACAAAAAATAAGAAGTTATGGGCAAACATTGGTATTTTAAAGACTAAAGGGGAAAAATGTAAACAAACAAACAACATAATCATAAAATAACAAATTTTAGGCAAAATGTAGACACAAACTGAGGACAATATTTTCCTGATATACAGGGTTTATTTTGAAAATGTAACACGTTTAAAAAAATACCGTGATAATACCGAAAACCGTGATAATTTTGGTCACAATAACTGTGACATTAAATTTTCACACCGTGACAACCCTAATGTACACCGATAAAGACTTTAGCCGATGCAGAAGGGAAGGTTTTTAATTTTTAACACTAAAAGTGAACTCTGCTGTATTTATAGTTCAGGTTTTATCTGAGAAAGTACCTTCATCTTCAATGCCACAAATACAAACCTTTCCCTTTTGGACTCATATACATAAACAGGAACATTATCTTACTGAGGAAAAATTAGGAAAAAAGTGCTCTTTATCATTTCAGTTAAGTTTTTGGATTAAGCTCCCGAGATGCCCCAAAGTGACCCCTGGTGCTTGGAATCAACCTCCCCGAGTCTCAGGAGGAATGAGTGAAAGGAGGAGCAGATTCCTGTGTGTGGATGAAAGATGATTGGTGGGGATGGAGAGGGGGGGCTCCTTCCTCTTCAGTGTGTGTGTGTGAGTGTGTGAGTGTGTGAGTGTGTGTGTGTGTGTGTGTGTGTGTGTGTGTGTGTGTGTGTGTGTGTGTGTGTGTGTGTGTGTGTGTGTGTGTGTGTGTGTGTGTGTGTGTGAGAGAGAGAGAGAGAGAGAGAAAGAGAGAGAGAGAGGAAAGGAGCCCAGGAATGCAGCCCTTTAGTGCAGGGCTGCAGAGCCAGAACGGCGGGGAGGGTGGGGGGTGGGGGCACGGTCTCAGGGAGTAGGCCGAAGCTGCAGCAACGAAGAGGAAACGGGAAACATAACCGGGTCTTCCACTTGTTTAAACAGATGGGATGAGCGCTGCGTGCTGTAGGAGGGAACTGGGAGGACCGTACTCACAGCCGTGGTAGGAGGCGGGCGAGCCCTCTGATCTGCCATACTCTTCACTGTAGGACGTGGACAGGTTGGGCTGAGACGAGCCTCGGCCAAAACCCACCTGACTGCTCCCCGTGGACACCTGGGCCATGCGCTCTTTAGTCTTCAAAGCCTGAGACCTAACAGGAACAAAAACATTAAGTAAGCAATCATGTTTCCTTGGTTCCGGATGTGCCAAGGCTCTATGACGGCCGGTGTTCAGGGAGTGAAACATAACCAGCTTGTATCTAGGGCTGGGGGTAAACGATTATTTTTAAAACGATTATTCTGACGATTATTTTATCGAATAGTCGACTATTCTAATGACTATTTAGAAAATTAATCTAATGATTATTTTTCTATTGCACAATTAACAAAAACCAGAAAATCTCAAATAAATTCCTCAAAAAAATTGATAAATTCTTACTGTAAGAGAATAAACACTACAGGCCTTCCATTTTGTATAACACTGCGTTTATTGTGTTGGTTGGTTATGTTCTGGTGACGTGTAGAACTTGGGAGTGCAGGCTGCTGCCTGAGAGGTGGTAGAAGATGGAGTGTCTCCATGCTGCTTTGTTTTGGTCACTTATGTGCGTGAGGCGAGTGGTGTTACGGGTTAAACCAAACTCAGGTGATATTTTACACTAAACCGAAAACCCACAACACTCTAAATGTAATAAAAGGGAGATCTACACCACAAAAAAGATGAACTCTAAACCAAAACGTAACAGCTTATCCCAACGCAAGAAGCTGTTAGCGAAGATGCTAACAGTAGCTTTACCAACATTAAGTTCAAGTTACCAAGTTTAAATAAACCAAAAACACCCAGCAGCAAACAGACCAGCACGGAAGAGAGACTGCTACCACCAAAACAGCTCTCCTCATGTCTGAAAGAAGGTCCTTAATGAAGGGAGAAGCGCTCCCGGTGATTTTCTACATCTGCGATAGACACGAAGCAGCGCATCTGACCCCGGAAGTTGTTGTCCGTTGCCGGGAGACGAAGGGGCAAAACAGGAAAATAATCTAGTAGTGGACGGACGTTGTTCCGGGTCTTCGGTATTTGGCGGAGATGTTAGTGAAGGCGGAGAAGAGGGCGAACTAGAGGAAAAACGGGCAGATTCCTCCTCTATTTACAAACTCCTGGGGATGCAACAAGTGGGCGCGGTGCGTCGACTTCCGGATCTGACGTCGACAAATTTTTAGAATCGAGCCGTCGACTTCGTCGAGGCTTCGCTACAGCCCTACTTGTATCCATTAAATCAGACAAATCACACAACTTTACAGGCTTTTAAGTGTTTCCTGGAAGTAATGCAACATTTTGCCAAACATGCTGCACGCTGATTTAGGCCTACGTGGTTTTTAAGTGACTTTCAAATGTTGCACGTAAGGCTGAGCAAATCCCGTTCCATTTGATTCTTTCACCCTTTCCTTTCTTCAACAGAAATGACAAATGACATAATACATTTTAAAAACTTGTGTTTACTTAATTCGTCCCTCCTGGGAGTTGACCCGAATTCAAAGGCAAGCTGAAAAACCTGCTTGTAAAACCAGATACTATCATTAAAGCTATGTTCATGCTTCCTTAGAAACTTTTCTATAATTAAGTGTTAAACTTTGCATTCTGGAGCATCGAAAAGTTTTGACCTGTTTTTTAAAGCAGTTTTATCTTTCAACCACATGGGATGAGATATTTTTACTTCATTCTGTCAAAAGCAAACAGATCTTTTAGGATGTTGGTCAAGCAGCTGACGATGTAGAGTAATAAAAAGTGAATATTCACTGTTTTAGTTTTGTTTTAAACAGTTTTACACATCTTTACTTACATGTACAAGATCATATACCCCACATTAGCAACCCGAAAAACGGACGGATTAAGGATATCCTAACCATGTCTGATACGTCTCAAACAAAAGCTTCTTCGGTCACACGAAGATGGTTGTAAATGAAAATGTTCAAAAGTGTAGGTGGTACGTTGGTTAGCATAGCTGCGTTCCAAGCATTAGCCCGACCCGGGTTCAGTTCTCAGTCAACATGATTTTAAGATGAGAAAAGCTGATTTAGCTAGGGTGCTAATGCTAGCTTTGTTTTGGCACTGAAGCATTCACCAACTTGTTTTAGAAACCAAACTTTACCTAGCTGCATCAATGAATATAACCAGATTGAACCGGGGGCTCCTCCGGTATGGTGAAGGAAAGCTGCTGAGAAGCTAATGGTGTATTCACATCTGGGTAATCTGTGCATTTTCCATGTTCAGCCCACACTTTCATTCAGACCTGCTCTTTGACAATCAGCTTTGCGTGTAGCCGACCCAACACACCACCAACTGGCCAGCTGACGTTCATGCCCACCTACTGGAGTGAGCCTCTGACTTGCAGATAGAATTTATAACACACATGAAACGCCATCTGTTGGTCTACGTACCCCAGGGGAAGCCTCCGTTTAGATCCAGAATGTTGAGGTCCGTGGACCCTCCTTGGTACCAAAGCCGGTAGAAACAGCAGCGGTGCCGACCAGTCTAGTCTCGGAATGCTCCCACGTCACGACAGGCTATTATTGGCGTCAGCGAGACCCTGAAGGGGTCGTGAGGTTCAGCTTTTATTCTGAAGGAACCGTTGCGGTCAGGTGTAACATGCAACAGATTTGATCCAGCTTGTCGAGCAAGGTTCTTTTGGCTGAAGAGGAAGTTCGGATGGCCTGTTCGAAACTTCTCTAGAACGCTTTGAACTGAAGTAAAGGTGACGTGGAGTAGTTTTTATAATGGTCATATTTTGGTTTACTGGCGAATCAGAATTTGACATGCAAAAGAGGGTTTATACAAACACCGCAGAAAACCACGCCTCGCATCAGACACGAAGGTTCTGAGTTGATCAAACAAAAATAAATTTGTCATGTGACTTTAGCATTACTCTGCGTCATCGCGTGTCTAGTGCAGCTGTCCAAGATTATTATCACTTGAAAATACTACTGATCACAGAATTATAATATCAAGTAATAACGTTGCCATTTCACAGATTGACTGAACATTGGGCTCACATTATAATTGGCAATAACAAACGTTGTTTGATTATGTATTTATCAAGAGAGTTCTCCGTCTTGTCTTGAGCTGTAAAGAGGTGAAGCCATTCAAAGGAGCAAAGGGCATGAAAGGCCTTGGCCAATATCTCTTGTAGATTAGGCCTGTGTCAGAGACTTTGTCTCCACAGATGAGTGGAGCATGACCCTTAGGTCAAAAACAGGACATTTCATGACGCTACACTGCGGATCTTTCCTTTGTTCTAAATGACTTGGACACAACAAGTAGAAGTGCTAAAAGCCTTTCTTCTAAAGAAAGATGTTTACGCTGTTGACAGACTCCATTTTACTACAGCTAAAAAAACTACAGCATCGTGGACGTCACACACAGCGACGCTCAGTTTCTCATAAACAACGACGACGGCGGTGGAGTTAGCTGCGGCTCTTTCTGTTCTAAATGACTTGAATGTCTTTAAAACAACAAGTAGAAGTGCTAAAAGCATTTCTTCTAAAAAAAAATGAAAAAAGATGTTTGCGCCATTGCCAGATGCCTTTTTTTTTACTACAGCTAGAAAACTACAGGGTCCTGCGGGGCAGTCAGGATTTCCATCTTTTTTCTGATTGGTTACTTTTGAGCTGCCTGGTCGAGTCCCTCATGTGCCTCTCTGCCTGTGAGTTACCAGACTCTTTCTCTGTGCAGAATTAAACAGAGGACGAGTCTGGTAGAACAGGCTAATAAAACAGCACAACCTCCAGATATGGTCTAGTGGGAAAATGATGACGCTACCCATTTTAAACTTTGCTAGGGTAGTCAATTCATCCGATAACTGCTTCATTCCTGGTCTGTAGTGTCAACAAAGTATGGCATAATTAATTTCTCAATCTAAGATGATCTTAGTTTGAAACTCTGGACTACATTTTGCTCTACAAAAACACGTTTTCCTGAAAGACCTAAACAATTATCCATGTACTTGTTACTCTGTTAATGTGTGGCTAGCGATGTAGACTTTCCCAGCAACACTCAGAAGTCATTACTGCTGGCACCTAGTCATGAACCAGCCTACATAGGAGCTGGTTGGACTCTTTGTCCTGAGCAATCCAGGCCACATTTGGGTCCAAACTTTACACAGGGGTGGACCTTTAAAGTGCCCGAGTGCCAATGGTGCTAAATTTTCTCGTCAGGTGGTAAATAATTGACGACTTACCGCCCGGGTGGCGCCCAAGCTTTGTTCGTCATTTACACACCGGATTTCACCTCCCCCTGTGGCCGCGCGTAGTAGTGTTGGAATACATCATGGCCGCGCCCTGTAGGAAGCTGCCGTTTTCGATTCCACTGCGCACGGCACTGCGCAGGTTCACGTGACTAGAGGCGAGTTCACTACAAAAGACGGAGTGGAACCACGCTAGAAACACACAAACATGCAGAAAGATGGCACCACCACAGGGATGGGATTTCTTGATGAAACCTCTGGCAAAACGGTTTAAAACTGATGAGGAGAAGCGAGACAGTTCGAAACGGTATGAAGCAGAGAAGCGTGTGCATAGGTGGAATGATTCTTGGCGGTTTAAAAAAGACGGGAGGCGCCAAGAATGGCTCGAGTAAAGCAAAGCGGAGGTGGTGATGTACTGCGTTGTATGCCGGAAGTATGCAACGACAAAATCGAGTTTTGTTGAGAGAAGAAACAAATTCAAACTAGAATACGCTAAAGAGCCCGAAAAAACAGTGAGCCACATGAAGGCAGAAAAGACTGCTCTTGAAAATACAGCAACGGTAGGAGAATCGCCAGCTGCAAAGGCCCTCGGGGCGATGACGAAAGCACAGCAAGACAAACTTCAACCCAATGCCAGCTATAAACATATGGTTTCATGATGTCCAACGGCAAAGGCGTCTTGATTTCATGGATGGAAAGACTTCCACTGCTGCCGAGATGGACGACGCAGAGCCAGAGGAAGATTTCATGTGCGTGGGTCAGGGCCGCTTGCTCTCCATGATGAGCAAGAAATATGAAGATGAGCTTGACAAGAACTTTGAGGTGGAGTAACATACTAGTCCACCACTAGCCAAATATTCAGCCTGCATCACAATGGTGCCAGAGACTGACACAGTGTTGGTTGTAAATATGTAAATATATAGAGAAAAGTTTATTATGTTTGTGAATGCGTACAAAATAAAGGTTTATTACATTTAAAACGGTTCAGTTGTTATTTTGACTCATTTTGGCAGCTGACCTGCGGGGCCAGTAGATTTTAGGCAGGGCCGGTAAATTTTCAGAGTTACCGGCCCGGCTGGCCGGTTGGTTTTGAAATTAAAACCCACCCCTGTTACATCCGTCAGCATGCCCCAGGGAGCTCGGCTACATTGTAGCTTATCGACACAAGGGTGTGAATAGGTGTGTTGTAAAGCGCCTTCGGGGTTGTAAAACCATAGAAGGCACCACATCAAATCCCAAATACAGGCACTTTTACTAAGTGTTGATGTCGGAGCAAATAAAAAGATAATGACAAGAAACAGCTAAACCTCACCTCTCTCCTTTGAGACGGTCCTCATCCTTGAGTAGGACCACCAGCTGCTTGCTCTTCTCCCTGACGTTGATGCCCTGGTCTTTGGCATCTTTGTCGATGTACTGAAAGTCCTTCAGTGTCTGAATGGCGAAGATGTTCTCCTTGCATTGCAGTGCCACCCTCTCCGAGCCAGTCTTGATCAGGTAGTCGAGCAGGGTGAGGGCCTTGTAGACATGGCGCCAGTTCTTTCCGTGGTCGTTGAGTCGCTTCCAGATCATGTTCATAATTTCGCTGAAGGCCACCACGTTGTAGGTCAGGTCGGCGATCTCTGACATGAGCGAGGACGAGGGCCCCCAGGGATCGTTGGACGTGGCCTCCCGGACTTTTTTCTCTGCATCCGAGTAGTTGTTGACCATGTTTTTCATCTGCCGGCGGATGGTGCTTGGCATGGTGGTGGTGGTAATGTAGATGGGACAGACAAGAAATAATTTTAAAAAAAGCACAGCTCCTCCTCAGAGCGTTCGAGTTTACAAAAGATGGAAGGGTGCGTGTCCTCTGAAAACTATTCCTTTGTCACTTTACAATTAGTGCTTAAGAGGCTTCTCCAGGCCAATGTGGCGTTCCTGAGTCCTCCAGAACAGCGTCTGTTAAAACCATCTCCACACACGTAGTGAAGGCTGCACGCAAGCCCACGCCATCACCTGGGACAAACAAACATTATAGATTAGTGTGGGGATAAAAAATAAATAAATAAACAATATAAAAGAGGAACCTAGACCCAACAAAACCAACTCCAGAAACCTTAAAGGAAATTTCGAGACCAATCGATGAATATCCCACAGCTAGACATCTCCAAAAAGCACCGTTCTAATCCAGATTTTCACATCAACAGTCTGATTAGTATTTATAGCAGCAGCTGTAGAGCCTTGCTTTCCGAAACCAGACAAAGGTGTCTCATACTTTCGAACTCAGCTAAGTGTTTTCCACACCTGCCTACTTCATACCGAGATGAGTTTTAGCTTTCAAAATATCACCTTAGATTTACAGTAAATCTATGAATGAATGGCAAACAACACGTACTGAACTGATTAGTGAATATGGTGGAAAACTTACAATATGCTACATTTAATATCTAAAGTTTGGTTTACTTCTTACAAAAAGTACCTCAATTTTATTGGACATAATGTTCCACGGAAGGTTAAAACTTCACAAAGTGTTTAAAGACTCGGCGTAACATAAAACAAAGCTACAGAAAAGTAAATATAGAAAAAATTACATGAAATGTACTAAAACTGAGTGTGTTTGGCTGACTCATCGATATTTGCAGCACAAACCCAAATACATAACTAGGGATGCACCGATGGATCGGCATTTGATCGTAATCGGCCGATAGCGCCCCTATCGGTTTTGATCGGAATTTTCAAAATAGATCAAAGCAGACCGATCAGGTGGGTTTGTCATGGTAACCAGTGTAGCGGTAAACCCCAGTAAAAAAAAAAAATTGACGATAATAATAACCGTCTTGTTTAAAAAAAAACTATATTATCTTGGTGTATTACCGTGGCTGCGGTGTAGGCGCGGTGACCCTTACCAGCCACCGTATCATCGGCTGAAGTTGCCGGCGGCACATGCTCGCTTTGTTGTTTACAACCAAAACTTTCTTGAAGCTAAAGCTGAAATAATGGTCAAAGGAGGAGACGGCAGCACTCAGGAGGACATTTATTATCCCTCAAAGAAGACAAAGTCGGAAGTACGGGCATATTTTAGATATTTGAAGAATGCCGAGGGAGTTTATAGAAGACGGCTATCCTGTTTGCAGCACGTGCAGAAAAAGTGTCTGTGAAAGTCAGCAACGCTTCCAATCTCATGACACATCTGCGTGACCATCACCCACAACTCTGCAGTAAACGCAAGGCAAGCTAACGTTAGCGTTTTAGCTAAAATGCGTGATCCGAGGATTTGGGTTGAGGGAGAATGCAACGAGTCGCTATATGAAGCAGCCGCAGCGGCGCTACCTGCATATAAACCGTGTCGCGGACACCCCCATGTTGAAATGACGCTATGCATTACGGGGCTCCCAGGGGCAGATAAGAGTTGGTCTCTCTCCGAGAATAATTATGAATTTAACAATGATTACTGCCTGATGACATTTTCCCAAATCTGCAAAGCTCACTGGAACACAAACCGAGGACAATATTTTCCTGATATACGGTTTATTACTCAAGTAAGGGTAAAAAAAGGTATCTGATTAGAAGGCTACTTGAGTACTGAGTATCATCTGATCTAACATTTTTAAATGATGACATCAACCAGACATAAAATAAGAAGTTATGGGCAAATATTGGTATTTTAAAGACTAAAGGGAAAAAATGTAAACAAATAAACAACATAATTACAAAATAACACATTTTAGGCAAAATTTAGACACAAACTGAGGACAATATTTCCTGACATACAGGGTTTATTTAATTGTGTGAAAATGTAGCACGTTTAAAAAAAAATACCGCGATAATACCGAAAACCGTGGTAATTTTGGTCACAATAACTGTGAGGTTAAATTTTCACACCGTGACAACCTTAATACAGACCATTTTAGATTAGGTTACATTTCCTTTATTCCCAGATTATGTAGTTTGTACCACTCATTACAATGTTGTAGAAAATTTCTGGCCAATCCACATGATAGGTATCGGTGATCGGTATCGGTGATCAGCATTCATTGATATCGGTGATCAGCAGCAAAAAACCTGATCGTGCATCCCTATATTTAACCTGTTGTTGTAACAGGTGGTGTGTTTGGGATTGAACAGAGGTGGAGTCATGACATAATGGTTGACAAGAGGTCACGTTCTGGATGCCTACATGAAATTGCATGGACCATTTGAAGATATTCACTTTGGAACCTGTTATTTTTTTTTAATGCAGCTTTGGGATTTCTACAACAGACGTGGGAAACCCTAGTCCTCGAGGGCCGGTATCCTGCACGTCTTTGCTTCAACGCGTCTGATTCAGTGGTTGATTCACCTGTTCGGCAGCTCATCAGGCTCTGCAGAAGCCTGTCAATCACCTGCTCATTGAAATCAGGTGTGCTGAAGCAGGGTTGAAACTAAAATTTGCTGAACAGTGGCCCTCGATGGACCAGGGTTCCTCACCGCTGTCCTGCAACATAGTTCATGTCGGGGTGCAGAGCTGAAACAATGAAAAGGTTGTGTGTGTTCACATGGTCCACTTGGACAATTTCGATCAACAACGTGGATTTGAAACTTCACCTTCTGCTGATGCTATTTCACATGAAACATTTCCAGACCTTTGAGTTTCTCTTTTACGTTCTCTCACAGTGACGCGGTGTTAAGAGTGAAAATGCATTTTCCTGTGGTGGCAGAGGAGCTATGCCATTTCCAGTTTGATGACAACTAGAAGAGTCACGGATGAAACACCATTAATCCACAGCTCGTGATCATTTTCTGACAGAAAAGTGGCTGATGTAGTACCTCCACGTTTCAAATGCAAGCTCTTGACCTTAAGAACCTACCTCGATGCTGTGTGGGAAAACGCTGTACTGTTATGAGTTGTGTTTAAGTCACACAGCCTGCTGGAAAGAGAAGGACTAATTCTGTGAAAGGGGATGTTCTTCTGCTGACGTTTGGCATGTTTCTCTCTTGAAGCAGGCGTTTCCTGCTCAGCAATCTGCTTTCTGTATCAAACAAGCACCAACAGGCCTCACCACCAAGGCCTTTCACAAAGAGAAGAGTGTTGGGGGCTTAATCTCCTATGCAGACTCTTATGAATAAACTTTTTAAAGTAGCATGTGGGTACGTGCACAGGCTCTTCTGTTTGTCTCATGCAGCTTCCTGCCTGGCAACACAGTGGAGCGACAGCTGAAGGCAACAAGGGTGAGGAAACAGGGAGCGTATGTGCTTGGGAGGATCATAAAACAACTTGGCACATCCCATAAATTCACTTAACGCCAGGGAAATGTGATTCCTGTGGAGCATGGACTCCCTTAAGGAAAGAAAATAAATCCCTCATCTGCCTCCTCCCAACTGCATCCGCATGAATGCAGCCCAGACCTAATGACACATCTGCTGCTATAATCACCTATTCACCCGCGGCTGACAGGAGGAAGAGAGGAGCGTCTGTCTCGTCTCTCCACCACTCTCGCATCCCGGAACAGCCCCCACCAGCAGCAGACGCCCCGACCCGCCTCTGCTCTGGCCCTGCTGTGTGCTCTGCTCACCCACGCCGTGTGCTGTCTCAGTGTTTGTGTGCAGAAATGCATTATTAATGTGGCAGGCCAGGTCACATTTGTCCAAACCACTGATAGTGGACTCAGATCACTCAGCTGTTAACCATGCTTTCCCTCGATCCATCTCTGGACACAGACTTAAGTAGAGAATATTCCAGAGTATATTCCAGCCCAGTAACCAACTTCAGTACAACACCGAAGACGCATGATTTGGATGTGCTACTGGCTCCACGTGCTGATGTCACCTTAGACCAGACCTGGGCATTTTACGGCCCGCGGGCCACATACGGCCCTTTGGTTGAATTTGACCGGCCCGCGTAAGGTTAATTGGAAATTACAAAATAAATGTATTTTCTCATTTTACCTCATGCATGGGCTAAGGCTGCATTGCTTTTATTTTGAAGTTGTTTTTTACGTGCACAATGACGTGCCCACGGTTGACATGGTGATTGTAGCCCCAGAAATGTCCGCTCATGCAAAAAAAAAAAAAAAAAGAAAGATGCCAAATACAGGATTTTCAACAAAAATTGGACTGCTAAGTATTTTTTCTTTTACTGAAGTCGGAGGCAAAGCCGTGTGTTTGGTTTGCGGGGAGGAGATTGCCGTGTTTAAGGACTACAATTTGAGTCGGCATTACGACAAGAAACACTCGGGAAAATACAAGAACTCATCTGATGCTGAGAGGGCACGGACATCCGAAGCTTTGCTAGCAAAGTTGCAAAAGCAGCAAGGCTGTTTTACTAAGCTTCACACATCCAGGGATGCAGCAACCAGGACCAGCTTTGTGATATCCAGGGTATATACAGCAATCCTTAAGTAAAATTTACTACTTTTTAATACTTTTTTTACTACCTTCAGAATTTTTTTAAAACCATCACAACACTAAATTGCAAGTGTTAATCAACGACCTATTTACACATATTTTAACATATATAACATACAAAAAGAATAGACTTAGAGACTCACTGATGTTGACAACGTATTGCACATATTTATTTTATTTAGAAAATAAGCCAGGCACTTCTGTTCAGCAGTTCAGACAGTTGACCACGAGGCCTGAAATGATGCACAACGACCACTGAATATGACGTCATCATTATGTGACCGGATATGCTAAAGTAGGGCTGCTCGATTATGGCAAAAACAATAATCACGATTATTGTGACTGAAATTGAGATCTCGATTATTTAAGACAATTTTTCAATTTATGTAGATTTTTATTTATTTTTTTTTTATTCAGTCATAAAACTGCTCAGGGCACAATCAGGGCAAAAATAAACAAGAAACAAGATGATCACTAAAATAACTCCTGATTCCCAGTATAAAAAGACCAATATACTTATAGCTCATAGTTTATGACCCAAGGTCTATAGACCTTGGTTTAACTCATTTAAGTCTAACCAGTACAGACCCAAATACCAATATCTTGCAAATACTGACAGCAAGAATTATACA